CTACCCTGTTTATTTCTGTATACTGTGGATTTTTGAAGTTAGTACATTTACTAAACAAATTTTTGCGTGTGTGAGAGAATTTTAGCGAATTCACGTATTGTCTTAATGATCAAGAGATGTAAGGATATGCTGCCTCCTCACCATAATACTCCCGTGAGAAATATATTATTAATGTAATAAATATATTACACCTGTAATTAACTATTACCAGTATCAATATGATGGTAGCTATATACGCAGAACAAGACAACGCTTGTAAATAAGAATATAACAACATGTAACAGCCAATATTCAAAAACAGAATTTGCGATATTTTACATAAGTGGGTCATTACATCTGGATCGTTGATAGAATTGATGAGCTCGGTCCTGTAGCCATGACATGCTCTCGGTACTGATCCAAGAGACTACATATATATATATATATATATATATATATATATATATATATATATATATATTTTAAACGTTATTTATAATGGATGTCCATATTTAAGTAGTCGTTCATTTTATTTTAAACAGTATTTTATTTCATCTACTGATATAGATATATATATATATATATATATATATATATATATATATATATATATATATATATATAATGGACTCTCCAGTCGGTTTCGACGTATGAGGATCTGACAGCTTATTGATTCAGTTATGAAAGTTTGTACTATATATATATATATATATATATATATATATATATATATATATATCGATTTTACTGCTTTTAAACTACAATCTTCCATGTACATTCATATCTCCTCATTGCGTATCCAAATGTAACCAAATGACGTCACATATAATGAAATGGAGAAAGTCCGACAATTCATAGCAGAACGAATATTTTCTATGAACATTTCTCGAACATTCAGGCCGGTAAATGTTGTTTAATAATGTTTATTATAAACAGAGCATTTACTTAAATATTTGTATCTATAAAAAGAATGTATAAACATAAAAATGTCTTAAAATAATTGTCGGACTTTTAACGGTATCAAAACTGTAGCAGACGCTTCCGCTTTGTTTTAAACGTTTCGGGTCTAGGCCCTTGTCTTAAAGCTTCAACATTTCTTCACCGCCCAAACTGCTATCAACCAATACTATTGTCTTACTGTGTCACCCTCTTTCCTTTCTTTCTCTTTTTTCCCTTTTCTTTACCCTTCTCCGTTTCCTCTTAAGGTGTTTCTCCCAATGTTTTTTTTTTCATAAGCGGCTTGCTTGTAAATAGAATTGTTCATAAATATTTTTGGTTCTCACCAGTCGAGATGCAACCGCATCGAAACAAGAATGCATCTTTGTAGTGGGTAATTGTTTTTGTCCGTATGTAAAAATTATTTGTAATAATTATTGCGCTACTCTTGGTATGGAGCCCTTATTTGAATTAATGCTGTGAACGTTAGAATTTATATTATTTTCATCCTCATTACATTTATATATATAGCAATCGTCAGGCGGCCTGAAACAGCCTGTCGCCTCTGAGTGTTGACTTCAATGTTCACTTTTATATTTATATTAACATACGTTCTATCTCTTATATTGAGCACTTTATCCCATAAATATAGCAAAACATTAAAACTATATTTCTTCATAGATATACACACACACACACACATATATATATATATATATATATATATATATATATATATATGTATGTATGTATATATTCATATTGTATGGATATGAGTTAGTAACCATGGGTTTCACGCTTTTTATTGCATATATATATATATATATATATATATATATATATATATATATATATTTTTATTTGGGCCCTCTGTATGCCTAAAAAAACACCTTTAAAGGAGATATTTTTATATTTTAAATAAAAGATAAAATTTCAGAAACTACAGTGTATTTGTTTTTATTTGCCAGTCTTACACCAAGCTCTTCTTACAAGCAAAACGTTCAAATTTGTATTAGTCTATCCACGCTACATTTTGATAAATTATGAATACTTTGCATGAGAAACATTTCTGTTCGAAGAGAAAAAAGATTGTGCCATTAAGACAATTTTTTCATATACATTTTTTTTTAATTTTTGTTTTATAAGTAATTTGCACGAAATGGCAAAAGTATTGAGATTAGGGTTAACATTGAAATATCATTCAAATAAGGCCACTATCAAAGTTAAAGTTAAAAGAAGTTGAAGATTTCTAAACATGGGTTGCAATATTCTTTACAAAGGCAGTTAGAATCTAACAGAAGAAGAGCTGGAGCACCAAAAGTAACAACTGCTGATGATGATAAGCACTTGATTATTTAACGCAAAAAAAAAAATAGAAGTAAAACTGCTTCAGAGTTGACAGCTGAACTTAATTCCTCACTACAGAAAGCAGTGTCGCTCTCAAGCATGAAAAGTCGACTTAGATCAGTTGGGCTCAAGGCATGAATAGCCATTAAGAAACCTTTGTTGCGGAAGTTAAATAAGCAGAAATGATTATTATGGGCAATAAAAGCATAAGAACTGAGCATTGAAAGAGTGGCAAAATCTATTGTTGACAGATAAGTGTAAATTTGAAATTTTTGGTAGTAAGACGACAGTGTATGTTAGAAGAAAGCCCAAATAAAAGATGGATGTGTGACTTCAACAATTAAGCATAGTGGTGGGTATGTTATGGTTTGAGGATGATTTGGGGAAGAGAGGGCTGGAGATTTGATTCAGGTCAAGGACGTCATGAAAAAAGAACAATATCTTTCGATTTTGCAAACGCATCATATACCATCTGGTTTACGCATCATTGGGGAAAAAAGATCAAATTTAAACACAACGACCCCTAACAAAATGATTTTGATGAATTCAAGTAAAAAAAAAAGGAACACATCTTATGAATTATGACTTAGCCGCCTCAATCTCCAGACTTATCACCCATTGAATTACAAGATAGCTAAAATAGTCCTTGCTGTATTTGATTTATTAAAAAAAATATTGTTATACACCGTACCTATGAACACTATTGAGTATGTCCCAATCCTCATAAATACGTTGGACACTTGTAAGTGGGGGTAATATGCTGTCTAACTAGTCCACCAGCAGCACTGGTTTATCTACTTCACGCCGCTGGCGAGTATTGTAATTGAGTATTGATGTTATAAAGATTACCATTTCATTTCCAACCTCCTTCAGTAACATTTTCTAGGTTACAACAAAAAGTATACGGCAAATTTGACATGCCGTTAGCCCTCAATGTCCTCATCGGCATCCAGAACTTTTTATCAACATGCGTCTAGCTGCGCAATGCCCTGGCAGTAAAAATCAGTTGTCTTGGACGCAAAGAAATTTGTGAGTACCTGTTATATGTCTGCCTCATTTACAAAGTATTTCCCTCGAAGTTGGTTGTCCAGGGAATAGAAGACGTAGTAATCTGTTGGCTCAAGTTCCGGTGAGTAAAATGGATGACAAGTCGGCGTATGCTATCCCTATACATTCGAACAACATGTGGCCTGACATTGTCATAGAAGATCAGTACAACCTTGCAGTTAGTCAATCTTCAGTGCCTGTTGTACACGTACCAACTGCTGCGGGTACAGATCCGCAGTTCAGTTCATTGGTAGCTGCTCATAGTGCACCACTTATCGACTAGTTGACTAGTCAACCTGATACATAGCATGAAATATGGGTGTAGAGCTGGTCTTTTAGTGTGAGGCACAGGCACCAGTAGCAACAACCAAAGTCCGGTACGCTTGTGAGTGTCATACAGAAGACATCTTTTATCACTAGTGGGCACTCGATCAAATATGTGTAGGTGTCGAGAAAGCACCGAAAAACAGTCTGCCACTCGTTGTTGCTTGTTGGCTCCCGACAGTGTATGGGGTACGCTTGCTCAACTTGTACGACTTCCCTATGTGGGTATGGTGAAGTTTGGCTGTTTCATCGGAATCCTGAAAGCGTTTGACAAGGTTGACTGTTTTTCCCTCGCTAAGGCCGACTTCAGGACCTCATCATCCAGGACATGCAGCACAAAGGGACAGATCTCTGGACCTGAACTTCTGGGACAAATGCCTGTCGGTGCGTTCATTCACAGCATTATATCCAAAAGCTTGACGTATTCCGCGACTTAATGCAGCTGCGGACAAGTCCGCCATAAAAGCCCCCCTCAGTCCACCCCAAACAATATGCTCCGACATTACCATGTTGCTCGAATTAGGATTGATATGTGGTCAAGGGCATTGCCCCCATCCCAACATTTTCTCGGCATGTAATACACTCTTTTTGTTTACGTTACAGTGGATATGAGAGTTCGAAGAGAATACACAGTGAGTGAAATTGAGGTCGTTCAATACTTGAAAAATGATTGGGAATGCCTGCCATCTACCTTTCTTTTCTTTTTTTTCAAAAAATGCTGGAAAGAATGTTAAGAATTTGTAAAGTATTAATTAAGGCAGTTGGTGGTTTTATTGACGAAAACAAAATATGATGCTGTTGTAGGATACTTTTGTATAGTTAAGTGATTATCTTTATTCAAAATAAAAAAGCAAATACACAGTAGTTACTAAAATATTATCTTTTACTTAAAA